CAACTACTCACTCCCTCGATCGACTACACTCTCCATCACCCAATCTCTACCACTCCTACACTGTTCGACTGTTCTCCATTCCATCCACCATTCCCTTAAATATTCCTCTCCGACTCCGCTTCTTTTCTTCTCTCGCTCTCTTCTTTCTCTCTCTCATCTCGCTCATTGTTCACTCGCATCAACGACGACGATACATTCTCCCATCCTCAACTCAACACTCTCTCGTCCTTGTTCCACCGATTCTCTCCCTTGACTTTCTCTCCTGGCTTTTGCCAATTTGGTGAGAAAAAATCACTCAACATTTCATTCTCTCAAAAAAGGGCTTTTGATTAACCTTTCTTCTCAAATCCTTGTTTCTCAGTGTCTATTACCTGTCATTGTTTGACATTGTCTACTTCAGTCTTTCTTCTCTGTCTAACTCAAAAATAAACTATCACCGTGGTAAATTTTCTTATTTATTATTGTTTTTTTCTTTATGATTTCAAGATTCTTTTTTAATGTTTCTCTAACCTTTGTTTTTTACATCTTTAAGTTCTGGTTCTAGTGTCAATTATAATTCCTGTTTTTCATCACGATTAACAGTCGAATTCGAATTCGAATTAACCTCAGAAAATCCAACCTCCACTCATGACCACTCCGGAATCCAACAAAACCAATACCGAAATCTCAAAAACTCTCAACCAGAACACCTCACAGAATACAGAAAGCACGATGGAAAAGATAAACTCTACCATCCTGAAGACGGCTCTAGAAGCCATTCCTAAACTAACCGCTGACAACTACACCTTGTGGAAAAATCTTGTCGATAACATGCTCGACATTCAAAATCTTCGAGAAGCTCTCACTTCGGAGAACGGAACTCTTACTGACACTCAAGACGTTCAACTCCGGACTATCATCACCTCCAAAATTGTCAGCTTGCTACTATGGTAGAGACAACCTGTCATAGCAAATAAAATAATAAATTACATAAAAAATCTAAGTATAAAGTAAAAATATTACATAAGTAAAAGAAACAATATTACTTATGTAAATAGGATAAAAATACATAAAAATAAATGAATAACTTAAAAAGTATAAACAAAACCTTAAATATTATTGCAGATTCTGAATCAGCATACAATTTAACCTAGGGTACCTCAGCCAAAGGTATCCCAAATTATAACTCCTTCACCCTGTTATACATGCATGAATAATTAACAGGTACCCCCATATCACGGGTACTGTGACTCCTCTGCATAATGCATAATGCATATACTCCAAATCCAGTCTCAGAATTGGAGTATTATGCACGGTTTAGAAGATAGAGCTGTGTGGAGTCCTGTCTCCAAGCCCACGCGCCACGTAGTCATGCTGCGCACCAGTATCCAAGGATTGGGCCACAAAAGCCCCAGAATCCCCATTGCACGTGACAACAAAGCCCCCACACGTGTAATAAGAATGTGAACAAGCTAGAATATCCATGAAAATACTACAGTAACCATATTCCAATGGGTAACACGTGTAGCAAGCCTCAGAAGACACCTCTGGAATATTCTGTGGCCCATTTCCAAGGAACCTGCTCCACGTAACAGAGCAGCCCCTATCTACAGGTCCCCATGGGACATTCTTGGCTGTAATAATTTCGTGCAGGGCCCCTTGGAGCTTCTGGAACATTATCCCCAAGGTTCCAACCATGGTTACATCACCATGTGGGCCAAAATGGGCCAAAAAAGCGCCCCCAAGTCCTACTAAGCTCCCCTGGGCAACCCCTGAGGCCTTCCACAGGTACTTAAAGGGCCTTCTGACCGCCCAAATAATGATCCCCCAGCTTGACAATACCATATAGAAATTTACTTACCATTTACAAGTCCCCTACACTTGTAATTAGCCTAGTCATTACTATTTTTACTGTTATTAAGCCTCAAGATACCTCAAGAAACTCCACAGTTATCACCCAGCACCCAAAATCAACCTTTCTGAGCGCTCCCAACTGTCCTGTTTCAACTTTGAAGATCCTCAAGACCCCTTAGGATTATTACTAGTAAGTAATAACCCTTTTTCTTGAGATTTTCCCCTTAAATTCTTCCTGGGATTTAAACCACACCTGTTCACAGGCCCCAGTGTTCCAGGTACCTAAATCCTCTGCTTTTGCACGATACCTTAGAGGGATTAAACCACCCCTGATTCATCAGGCCCCTCTGGTTTTATTTATATTAATTTTATTAATATAAATTGGCCATTTTTTCCTATTAATTAAACCCATAAATTCCCTTATTTTATTGGAATTTATTCCTTTAAAATTAAAACCAAAAATCTATAAGCTTTTTGTTTACTTTTGCACCACGTGTAGCTAGAAGATTTTACATCTTGGCATCACGTAGGCTGACAAAAATTGACTCCTCCATCCATCCCAACGTTATCACTCACGAGAATGCGAAGAAGGCTCGCGAGATCTGGAAGTCCATCACCAGTTATTTCGCTTCGACTCAACCGGCAAACCGAGCTCGAGTGTTCAATGAACTCCTGGATCTCAGCTTTAATCACTCGGACATTCAAGGATTTATCACATCGGTTAGATCGATTAATTCCCGGCTGTTTGAAATCGGAATCGACATTCCTCAAGATCTCATCGCCTACATCCTCCTCAAAAAGCTTCCGTCTTCTCTCTCGAATGTCAGTCAGCAAATCACACATTCCGACAAAAGTCTCACCACCGATCTTGTTCTGGACCATCTTAAATTGTACAACAACGATCAGTCGGCCATCGCTAATCGGGGCTCAGGATCAAGATCCGATCCGATAGCCTTGTTCTCTGATGCCTCAAAGAAGTGCAAGAAAACAGCTCACAACGTTCTCTCGAATCACCCAGAAGCAAAATGCTGGATGCTGTATCCTCATCTCCGACCGGCTCATGAAAACAAGAACAACCGCACGGAATCAATGGTCAGCAGCTTTCACTCGTCATTTTCTCAATCATCCTCACAATTTGTCCTAGACTCCGGTTCATCTGCTCACATGGTATCAAATATTGACTTATTCTTTGCTCTTGATCACAAAGAAAAAGGATTAGTTCACACGAGTTCAGGGAAAGATTCACTCTCCATCAAGGGATCTGGATCGATCAAGCTAGTCAATGAATTCGGAACAACCATTCTTCATCATGTTCTATTTGTTCCAGATCTAGTTGTCAATTTGCTTTCTGTTCGTTGTCTAGTACTTGAAAATTATCTTGTTGAATTTGAAAAATATTCATTCTCAATTCTCAAACATGGTGAAATAAAAATGAAGGGTCATTATCATTGCAATCTACCCTGTTTGAACTTTGCAAATATTGAACATCGGTCCCATTTTTCATCAGCTGAAAATCTACACAGATCCTTGGGTCATGTAAGCTATCATCGAATTAGACATAAACTCGGAATTCCACTGAAAAATGAAAAAATTTGTGAAGCATGCTCTATAGCAAAAATCACTCGAGCATCTTTCAAGTCCACTCATCCTCCTGCTTCAAAACCGTTCGAAGAAATTCACCTGGACCTGATAGGACCAATCTCCCCTCGATCAAGAGAAGGTGACAAGTATATCCTCACGGTAGTAGATAGTTATACCAGATTCTGCTCTGCTATCCCTATCAAATCCAAAAGGGATGTGGCAAGAACTCTGTCGGACTCTTTGGATCTTGAAGCAAAACGGTTTGGATACTATCCGACTGTGCTGCATTCAGATAGAGGGACTGAATTTCTAAACTCAACAATGAAGGAATTCTGTAAAAATCATCTCATCCGCTCTCGCACCTCAGATCCCTACACTCCTCAGCAGAACGGTCTCGCCGAGCGTCACAATAGGACGATTCTGGAATCTCTGAGAACTATATTGAAGGATTCAGGATTTCAACATCGTTTCTGGAACGACATCGTCAAGGTCAGCACTCTCACACTCAATCAAATACCGACTCACAAAAGCAAAAAATCTCCCTTTGAATTGTTCAAAAATCGATCAATCCCTATTGATTTCTTTCGCCCGATTGGTAACAGAGTCTCATATCTAATCTTACCACCGAAGACCAACTCAAAACTCATGCCAAAAGGCAAATCAGGCACTCTCTTAGGCTATAACGATGAAATCCAATCGTACAGGATCCTGAGCGACAATGGTAAAATAATCGAAACCAAGAGTGTTTGTTTTCTGGATCAAATGAAAACTCCGGATAACTCTGAAGACGAAAGTTTTGAAATCGTTGAAGAAGATATTCAATGTCAAAATCTGGGGTCAACCGATGAAGATCATGAATCTGAAGATGAAGTAATACCTGCTGAAGAGAAGATCGAAACTATTGAAATCGACTCGGATTCTAGTTCTGATTCTGATTCATCATCCGACTCAACTGACAAAAGTGACATCAATATTGAAGAAGGACTAATTCCAAAATCCAACTCTCCTAGAAAGCTCCACGACCGAACCTCCAAGATCAAACCGACGAAGTATTCTCACCTGACAACCAATCCTTCGTCATTCAAGAAAGCGATGATTTCCCCTGAAAAAGACAAATGGACTGAAGCTGCGAATGAAGAACTGAATAACATTGAAGGTCACGAAGTCTGGGAAGACATGTGGAAAAGACCGGATTCATTTCTTCACACACTCTGGATCTTCAAGACCAAACCTGCGACCCTCTCTTCAAATGAACGAAAGAAAGCCCGATTGTGTATCCAAGGATTCTCTCAACTTCCTGAAGAATGCGGTAATACTTTTGCGCCGACAGGAAAATTTACGACTCTCTTGATGGTTCTCATGTTTGCTGTTGATAAAAAGCTGCCACTCCGACAATTCGACGTCAAAAGTGCTTTTCTCTATGCTCCATTGAAAGAAGAAGTATACATCAAGACCCCTGAAGGATCGACTCGAAAAGCTCCATATCTCAAGCTGAACAAGTCACTGTACGGCCTCAAGCAAGCTCCTGCGAATTGGTATGATACTCTTACGCAATGGTTCGAATGCATCAACTACCAACAATCAACCTCCGATCCCTGTCTTTTCATTCGCAAAGATCGACACTCATTCATTTTCTTTCACGTGGATGACCTGATAGTTGTCGGTAATGTCGAAGCATTTGAACTCCTCTTCATGAATCGCTTTCCCAACTCGACTGCTCATGAACCTGACTCACTTCTTGGAATGGAAGTTACTCAGGAAGATGGAACAATTAAACTCTCTCAACCCAAGCTGATTGAAAAAGGCCTCGATCTACTGCAACTGAACAACTGTAGACCCGTCAAAACTCCTCTCTCAGTAGCAGTTCAACTCAAGGAAGCAACCATTGAAGAAAAAGCAGAATTTGAAAAGCTCAATATTAACTACCGATCTTTCACCGGCATCCTCAACTTCTTAGCTTGTCGCACTCGTCCGGACTTGGCCCCGGCGGTATCCATTCTATCTAGCTTCAATCATGCTCCGGGAATCAACCATTGGAAGGAAGTCATTCATTGTTGGAAGTACCTATCTGGCACTGCAGATCTCAGTCTAAATCTCACTCCCGACTCATCCAATCAATCTCTCGCACTCGAGTATTACACCGATGCAACTTGGGCGGATGATTTGGAGACTCGACTTTCAAGAAGTGGAAAAATTTGTTTTTGGAAGTCTTGTCCGGTGTCATGGAGCAGCAAAAAACAGAAAAACATCACTCTATCGTCAACTGAAGCTGAAATGAACGCGCTATCCGACGGTGCTCAAGAAAACCAATGGATTACGTACCTGGTTGAAGAGCTCTGGAAGGAAAAATTAAATCCGACCAAATTCCATGTCGACAACCAAGGCCTAGTGGAGAAGATCAAGAATTTTGGCTCCAACTCGAAGACCAAACACTTGGACATCAAGGCAAAATGGCTTCGAGAACTCAAAAAATCAAATCAAATCAACGTCAAGCTCATACCATCCAAAGAAATGATTGCTGACGCACTCACGAAAGCCAGTAATCATAACTCACTTGAAAGACTAAAAGAAAGATGTTTCTTAGTCCTTTTCTCACCAAATTGAGGGGGGTGTTGGAATTATCCAGCTCTCCCGCTCATAATTCCTTTTCTCTTCTCTTGTTTCCTTTTCTTTTTCTTGTTTTCTCCCGCTCCGCTCTCTCTCTCCGCTCCCGCTCCCTTTCCGTGCTCCGCTCTCGTCATGTATCCTATTTCACTATCAAACCCTTCCTCGTCTCATAATCATCTTCCTCTCTCTTCCAATCAAGACCTAACACTCCTCGAACCCAACCACAAATCTCTCGGCGTATCAAATACAGGTCACTCGTCAACCACAAGCCGAACCTCTCTCTCTCTCGTCGATTCATCTATAAAAACCGACACAATGTTCTCAAATGAGGTTTGCTCAATAGTCTCCGCCATCGTCAACGATCAACTACTCACTCCCTCGATCGACTAACCTCCATCACCCAATCTCTACCACTCCTACACTGTTCGACTGTTCTCCATTCCATCCACCATTCCCTTAAATATTCCTCTCCGACTCCGCTTCTTCTCTTCTCTCGCTCTCTTCTTTCTTTCTCTCATCTCGCTCATTGTTCACTCGCATCAACGACGACGATACATTCTCCCATCCTCAACTCAACACTCTCTCGTCCTTGTTCCACCGATTCTCTCCCTTGACTTTCTCTCCTGGCTTTTGCCAATTTGGTGAGAAAAAATCACTCAACATTTCATTCTCTCAAAAAAGGGCTTTTGATTAACCTTTCTTCTCAAATCCTTGTTTCTCAGTGTCTATTACCTGTCATTGTTTGACATTGTCTACTTCAGTCTTTCTTCTCTGTCTAACTCAAAAATAAACTATCACCGTGGTAAATTTTCTTATTTATTATTGTTTTTTCTTTATGATTTCAAGATTCTTTTTTAATGTTTCTCTAACCTTTGTTTTTTACATCTTTAAGTTCTGGTTCTAGTGTCAATTATAATTCCTGTTTTTCATCAAAGACGTCTCCCACCCCTTGTGCCGAGTTATCTGACGCAATCATCAGTCGCAGCATCGCTATTTTCGGGTCCTCAGGGGTGATGGGATGTACTTCCGGTGGGTTCTTCATGAGGGGCACTCAACAGTCCACTGGCTTCTCAAGATACTGCAATATCACCCGAGTGATCTGAGATTTCATCGTCTTCTGCCAGTGGTCGGTACTTTCGATCGTTGGAGTAAACATCTCTGGTTGGATAGTGAGTTTAGAGCCAATGTGCAACGCCTTGTTCAACGCGTCTCGGCTGAGTTCATCTGGGTTGAGTCGTGGCAAAACGCTTTGGGGTATTGAATGGATATAACCCCAGGTCCCATGAAACATCTGGCTCGTATGCCCAATTGATTTCATGTGTACTTTTTCTTGAAAGTCGAGGTTGTCGTAGCAAAGCAATGGCGCAATCAAGGGCAATTGATCCATCTGATACCTAGACCGGAAGGTCTCCTCGGCCTCAAGCCCAAGTGACTTGAGGGCTGCGTGTGCAGTCCTGCGAGACGAGCTGACCCCAATGTAGTTGAGGTAGCTGCTGACCCTCTCGGTGACCCCAGCCGCAAGGAATATAACCGCATTGCTCAGTTGAAACCCATTATGCCGTCGGTTCCGGCCAAAAGCAACCATCGCGCAGATAGTTCGAGCAATCTGTAGGACATCAAGAAGCCAGCCGAAGTCAATGTCTTGGGTTCCAATATGAAGACCAGCAGTCAGAAGCTCCAACGACTCACAGTATGAACCCGATTTGCCCTTTTCGCCACCGGGTCGCGACTCTTCCTGAGGACTAACCCGTCCAAATCCTCCATTTCATCCGACGAGTCATCTTCGTCCTCTTCATCCGATCCCTCCTCGGGGCGGTTCCCATCTGTCGCTTCAGTTGGGTTGCCCCGCTCATGAATCTTGTTCACATCCAGTGTGGAGCAGAGCAGCTTGTACAAGAACGGCATGCGATTGACCAGAGCCTCATTGCGTGTGGCCAACTCGTCCATGGAAAAGAAGGATTCGGACAATGTTGACGAATTATGATCAGCGCCTGCTGGTGCCAGTCCACTTTTTGGTTTTTGCAACATGGCTATCTCCATCGACTGGAACTCAATGCAAAGTCAAACAAGTGCTCAATAGAGTCAGCGCGGATGCGACTCACCTCGGACAAAATCAATTCTTCCCAGAGGCCCCGGCCTTCCATGTGAGAGCAAGCCTGGGCCTTTATGGCTGCAATCAACCTTCTCGTAGAGTCCCACCCGGTTTCCGTACCCCAGTAACGACGTCTGAAGGCCACATTATCATGTTTTCGCTCCAGGAAGGCAACCACAAACTCCTTTGGGGTCAAGTTTAATTTTTCCATCAGCGCGCAAATCGAGTCAAGCTTCTCGTTCATAGGCACACGAGGGGCCCGGGCCGACGCTTCGGGAGCAATGAGGGCTGGTTGATCCATGATAGACAAGGGTAATGGCTGGGGTGATTCGCAAAGATCTATGAGCAAAGGTAGATGTTTGGTGGTGACTATTGATGTGTGTG